TAACCCTCCCAATAACCCTATAAAGCAAGTACCATTGTCCTATTTCAGAGGTGAGAAAACTAAGGCTCCACATCAGGTGCATATGGTCAGCTGGAGGATGTTCATGCAGACCATGGAGCTCATACAGGCTGGGTGGTACACCTGAAGAGACCCCTCCCACACCCAGGTCCCTGACCCGCGCCTGACCTGAGGGGTGAGAAGTTCAGTCCCACCCAACTTCACCCTGGTGTCGCCAGCCCCCGAGTTGTTACCTTGTGTCTATCCCACGCGCTCCTATTGGCTGCTGTCGAGCATTCCCATTGGTTGCAAGACGGGGACGGGGCTGCGATTGGTTCTTGGGCTCCGAGGTGTGAGATATATCTCTGCTGGAGCAGGGTCCCGAGGATGCGTCAGTCGGGTGATGGCAGTGACCGCCGGCCCCGATGCAGAACGGGGACGCATGTGAGTCCTCATTTCCAGAAAGGGATGCTATGTGCAGTGTGAGCCCACACTGATCAGACACCTGAGGCTGCTTCCAAACAGGTGAGCCACTGGGACCCGGGCGAGAGACAAGTGTGTATTAATGGTCAACTCGACTCCCTCTATACTTCTGGGAACCATTGTGGAATTTTTGTTTGTTTGTTTGTTTCATTTCCATGTATAATCTGACACATACAGAGAGTCAAAGGCGCCCTGGTGGTGCTATAGGATAAGCACGGGACTGTTAACCACAAGGTCTGCAGTTCAAACCCACCAGCTGCTCCAAGGGAGAAAGAGCGGTTGTCGAATGATTCCGTAATGATTTGTAGTTTCAGAAACCTTAGGCAGGGTCGTTATGTGTTAGAATCGACTTCATAGCAGTGGGTTTGGGTTTTTCTTATAGAGTGGCTTGCAGTGAACTATCAGTGTGATATGTTGTCTGTGTTTGTCTAATGACTGCTAATGAATGTGGCTCATACTCAAAAGGCATGTGGAGGATGCTTGAAAGGGATGAAAACTTGGAGACCGTGACATTGCCTGCGCCTTCTTTTTGTGGTCTATAAAGTAAAAACGTTTATCTGTAAGTGACATCTGAATAGGGAAGTATTTGCTAATGAAAGTGAGCTTTGCTTTATAGATGAGAAATGATCAAAATAAAATGCAAGGGGACTTCACAAGGTTCATGGGAAAATGGAATGATAAGATAATGCATATTTTCTACAAACTTTCTGAAGCCCCTGATCTGGGACAGCTATGAGTCTTTAGAGGGCGCTGTTTGGAAGAATGCATCAGGAAGTTGTTTTCTAAACTTTGTTAGGCTGCAAGAGTATGCTTGGCGAGTTGATCTGATAAAAGGGTTTGAATTTATCAACAGATTTTTTAAGGAAAACTACATAAGCGCTGTGGTTCCCTCTTTGTATTTTTTACCTTATTTGATTGGTGTGGAAAGTGCCCATTTGCACATAGAAAGTGCCCAGTAAATGTTTGTCGCTTGCACTGAAGTCCCAGAATCCCTTAAGCTGTAGCTTCTCATGCTCTGGTCTGCTCCAGACTTGCCTTGTGTCACAATTGAGTGGTTTGTATCATTTGCCTTTGCTTCCAATTAGTCACCTTTTGGAGGTGGACCAATTTAAGCTGGCTTGTAATTAAAACTTTTCCACCTCCTGTTGTTGTTGTTAAATGTTGTCAAGTCGGTTCCAATTCTCAGAGACACTGTATAGGGTTTCCGAGGAGTGGCTGATGGATTTGAATCGCTGATCTTGTGGTTCAAACCTACCTTGTGGTCCAGTGCATTATCTTTTAGCGCCACGCCAGGACTTCATTGTTGTTAAGTGCTGTCAAGTCACTTCCGACCCATAGCGACCCTGTATAGGGTTTCTGTGGAGCAGTTGGTGAGCTTGAACTGCCAACCTTGCAGTTCAAATGGCTTTGCAGTCTGGCACATTAACCCACAGTGCCACACCAGGACTCCATAGACTGGTACAAAAGGATCCCTGGTGGCGCTGTAGGATAAGCACTGGACTACTAACCACAAGGTAAGTGGTTCAAACCCACCAGCCACTCTGCGGGAGAGAGATAAGGCTGTCTGCTCTCGCAAAAATTTAGTCTTGGCAACCCTGTGTATAGAGTCAGAATTGATTCAATGGCAGTGAGATTAGTATGTAAGTAAAGAGATCCCTGGTGGCGCAGTGGGCTTAACATTGAGCTGCTAACCTCAAAGATAGCAGTTCGAGCCGACCGGGTGCTCCATGGGAGAAAGATAAGGCAGTTTGCTTCCATAAAGGTGTACAACCTGAGAAACCCTTTGGAGCAGTTCTACTCTGTGCCAGTAGGACTGGTCTACTTTGAGTAGGACTCGACCAGATGACCGGAAGACGGTAGAGTTGGTCTTTGGCTTTAGGTAAAGAGATTCTGACCTAGAGAGGTTGTTTGGCTAATGCAAAGTCACACAGCTGGTTGTCATACTTTGTTAAGTGCCATCAGTCTGTTCTAACTCATAGCAACCCTGTCTAGGGTTTTCCAGGAGCAGTTGGTGGGTTTGAACCGCCAACCTTAAGGTTAGCAGTTCAGTGCTTATCCTACAGCACCACACCAGCAGCACTCCGTTGTCATACGTAGAGCTAGGATTAGGACCCAAGGCTCTTGAGTCAATTCATACATAGTCCAGCCTGCCTTTCCCTCTGCCAGTTCACCCCACTAGCCATATACCATCTCAGCGTGCATCCCTGCACCATCCCACCTACCTGGAACTTTAGGACCGTGCTCCTTTCCCTACTGAAACCTGCACTGAATTCCTGCTTCGAGTCTCCTACTTTTTAGCTGCCCAAGTATTTGTGCTCACGCCTCTAACCACACCCAGTTTTCTGAGGTCTAGTCCCTTCCCACCTATCTTATGCAGCACATCACCCCCCAAAGATTTATGCTGTTGTTGTTGTTAAGTGCCGTCGAGTTGGTTCCGACCCATAGCAACCCTGAACAGGGTTTCTGAGGCTGTAAATCTTTGCGGGAGCAGAAAGCCTCCTCTTTCTCCCGTGGGGCAGCTGGTAGTTTCAAACAGCTGACCTTGCGGTTCGCAGCCCGATTCATAACCACTACGCTACCAGAGACTTCTCAAATGTTTCCCCTCCTGGTGAATCTTGCCAAGAACAGACAGAATCCATGTAAGTGAATTTTAAGTTATCACGGACCTAAGCTATTATTTGCCACTCCACCAAGTTTTCCACTTAATTCCCTTAACCCATTCAACCCTCTGCTCATCTCCACACCCATACCTGGGGCTTAGGGGCCCAGGGGGTGACAAATAAAGGAGAGAGTCTGCCTCTTATCAGGTAGGATGGGGCAGAGGGCTGCACCCTATCTGGTGACCAAAAAAGTACACACAGCACAACCATTCCAAATAGTTTGGGCAGAGGGTGTTTGGGTAGAGATCTGGGAGGGTGGGGTCCCAGATTGTCAGCGTTGGCATTGGAAGAGTCCTAGGATCCCCAAAATGCCACACATTTGAAGGATGAATATTCCTTGATCCTGGATTCATCGAGAGAGTGGGCAGGTTTCCTATCAGATCCTCTTTGGAATGTGTGTTGGCCTAAATGCCCTGCCGCCCAGGCACTTCCAGGTTTCTTGAACCGAATACAGAAAACCTGTGTTCTCAGTCTCCAAAGGCTTTCATTTTGCCCTGGACAGCTAAAAGTCTCAGCTGTGCCACTTTGCCTCCTGGTAACTTGTTGGTGTCTGGAAATTGGCGACTATAAAGGTGTTACCGTAGATTATATCCTAGAGCTGGGGGACCTCGGCAGCTGTCCCTCCCATCCCCATGGTGTAATCATCCAACCGGCAATCCAAGTGTCACCTCATTATTGTCTCCCTGAGCTGCTTAGTTAAATCCCACTTGGTTTTCCTCTCCTTGGCAGGACTCTCCCCTAGAACTTAGTGTCTTCCAGTCTGTCCCCTTTAGCAGGGGAGTCTGCTCACGCTGTTGCCTGATGTGGAGCTTGGAGAGCAGTGCCTGCCACACCCTGAAACAGCTAACACACACACAACACACATATCTCACACTCATGCACACACATCACACACCTCGTATACATGCATACCACGCACCACATACATGTACCACACATATCACACTCTTACACCCATGCACATATCACACATGTGTCATTCATACATAAGCACCACACATACCCCACAGCAAAGTCCCAGAATCATTCACCTAGGAAGGGGCCTCTGGTGTGTATCAGTCACCTGTGAGCTCAGATGTGGTCGCCAACAGACAGCCGAATGCTCATCCTCAGAATCCACTGGAAGTGAGACAAAGCCCGCCCACTGCTGCTTGCGTGTCATATCCGATGGCCTTTTGCTCTCACTGGCATTAGGGCGCGTGCTCTTTTCCTTCTTTTTGACTTATCAGATGGGTACAAAAAAGGGTACTAATCTAAAGACACAGTGCAGTGGGTATGTATACATCATTGTTTCCAGACCCAGACCAAAGAGGGATGCTTTCTTCATGAAGGAAAGACCTCAGAAGGCAGGGAAGGGGATCTGTTCAGATTTTCATGGACTGGTATCTATGGAGACGTGCTGTAGCGCTATAGGATAAGCACTGGGCTGTAGGGTTGATCTGAACTGAAAGGTCAGATGTTTGAACTCACCAGCTGCTCCTCAGAAACCCTATACAGGGTCTATGAATTGGAACCAACACGACAGCACTTAATAACAGCAAAGAGCGTGAGCTCAGGACACAGCTTGGCCTCCCATAGTCACAAGTGTCTGGTGAGTGGCTCTGATATGCTGGAAAGGTCTTGGCGTGAGCAGTCTTGCCCCTCAGCTTTAAGTCAAGCACAGACGGTTTGTGTTTTTAAAAGTGTTTACACATGAGCTCTCGTGTCCGGCATTTCTTCTGTGCCTGTTAGTGATTTAGGACCTATAACTTGGGGACGCACCCCCTTTCTGTCTACTTCCATCTACTGTTCTTTTTCTTTACAAGTGTCTGTTATTTGGGGCACACATACAGTAAGTGTACTGTTATGTTGCAGCTTGTAATGAAGGCCTCACAAAAGCACAGTAACCCCAGTGGCAGAGTCACAGCGACGAGACCCCAGACCACAGCACAACCGCCAGAGCTCGAGCCCCGGGTGGCCCGCAGACGGCTGTCCCAGGCTCGTCATCGGGCCACTCTGACGGAACTCTTCAACAATCTCAAGAAAATCGTTTATTCTAAGTCTAATTTCATACCCTCAAAGGTATGGAGTCTGGCGTGGGGGGAGAGGAGGGTCTATGGAGCCAAGTGGGCTGGCTAGGAGCGTCCTTCCTGAGCCACCCCTACCTGGGAAGCTAGCCAAAATGCCCCTTCGTTCTGTGTCTGCTCCTATACTATGCAAAGTGTGAGAGTGCTCTCAAGACAACCTGTGGCAGACACACCTGGTGTCAGAGAGCTTAGCCTGGCCCAGGTCAGTTATCCTGCCACATCTGTGCTAGCCCACTCTCAGGCTAGAACGCCTCCAACCATTCCAGGGTCGTGCCCCGTGACCCCACCCCCACCCCAAACACACACCATATCACATACACACACCATACCACAGACACTCCATCTATCACACACTACACCTAACACCCACAAACACACATACCACCACAAACACCTTCACACACTCTCCACACCACACCACAAACACAGACACTCCATCTATCACACACCACACCTAACACCCTCAAACACACATACCGCCACAAACACCCACCTTCACACACTCTCCACACCACACCTAACACACCACACCACAAACACAGACACTCTATATATCACAGACTATACCTAACACCCACAAACACACATACCACCACAAACACCCACTCCCACACATTCTCCACACCACACCTAACACCCACAAACACACATACCACCACACCCACTCCCACACACTCTCCACACACCACAATGACACATATATACACATACCTCACACTTTCCACACACCACACCACACACATACCACAAACATATGCCATGTGCCTTGGGTCTGGAGCACCTTCCATCTCTCTCAGTGTGACACTTCTTAAGGTACTAACGAGGTCTTTCGCAGCCCATTGTGATAAGTTATGTGACTTCTTGACATCGGCTTCCATGGCGGTTGACTGTGGAGCCAAGTCAAATGAACTCCTGAGCACTTCGATATTTCCTCCCTTTCTCATGATGCTGCTGGTTAGTCTGACAGACATTACAGGGTAGCATTATATAAAGGAAAGGAAAAGAAGTAGAAAACAAAAGTGGGGAAATTTGGAGTTCATAAGGATGCTTCTCAATCACCCAGAGAGTATCCATTTAACAAATGAAAACATTGTGAGACTAGTTCCTTCACTGGCAGCTGGCCATTGAGCAACATTACGAGTGAGCAGGAGCCGAGTCTGTGTGCTTTGTGCAGACTTGGGCTCAATAGCCATCAGACGGGGCTTCATTAGCTACCAACGTTCATTACTCCTCTCGGCACATGGGGTTGTTTGCCTTTTTGCAGCAGCAGTGTGGTGCTGTAGGATAAGCACTGGACCACAAGGTCAGCAGTTCAAACTCAAAGCCTGGAAACCCTATACAGGGTCTCTATGAGTCGGAACTAACTAGATGATACAACAACAGTATTTGGCTGGAAGCTGCTTCGTTGGTTCCAAATACATTAGCATTTCGGTGAGAATCCATGTATGGAATACACAGTAAAGCTTATGCCTTCCATGCATCAGAATAACCTTCTTGTCCTTTTTACTGACTCCCTCACAGAGATTGTGTCTGAGGGAGCCTGGCCTTAGGATCGGGAAGGGGGTCACAAGATCAGCCTCTGCAGTGAAAGGTTGATTTCAACCCTGCCTCTCTCTGTCCTCAGTGGCAGGTTTTGAATAAAGCAAAAAGCCATATTCAGAATCTCGAACTAACGTTGGATATTGTGCTGAAGCTGAAAGGTAATAGATTACGACCTGCCACCCTCATCTCCTTCCCAGGTGAGAGCCAGCTCTGTTCTGTTGAAAATACAGAGATGGGATTAATCCAAGTCAACAAACACTTATTGAGCACCTACTGTGTCCCTAAGGTGTGCTGGAGGCACTGGACTGCTAATCACAAGGTCAGCAGTTCAAAACCAACCAACCACTCCACAGGAGAAGCAGAATGCTTTCTGCTCCAGTTAAGATTTACAGCCTCAGAAACCCTACACCGGGCCACTATGAGTCAGAACTGACTCAATGGCACACAACCACACTGTGGGGGATACAAGCAGTTTGTGCTCGACTTCTAGCCAGAGTTGACCATACCCACCCAGCAATACCACAGAGAAAGATCTGGTGATCTGCTGCCATGGAGATGACCCTAGGTAGCAGTTTTACTCTGTACACAGGGGTTACCATGAGTTGGCAACTGGGTTTTTGTAAACTAGTGGCAGATGAACTCACAAAAAGATCCTTTCCATTTCCTGATCTCTGGTTATCAGCCATTTTGGAAGCTGTTGTCCCTGGTATAGCGTTCTCCCCTCCCTCCTACAAGGTGAGGTGGCGATCAGACTCCCCAATGCTGAACCTGAGCAGCTTCCAGCCAGTATGCACCAGGCCCCTGGGGCAGACAGGCAGGAGAAAGTCAACAAAGGCCTGACTTGTCCCCTTCATCTCCCCAAAAGACTACTTCAACCTGGAGGATGGGAATGCCAGGACCCTAGAGGAGGTCAAGAGAGAATATGCTAGACTATACTCCAAAGATTTCAGGTAAGTCCCAGTCACCACCAGGAGCCTGAGAGCAGACTCTTGTCTCCCACAGCAGAGCAAAAGTTTTACCATTTTTGTTTTGATGTGTGTGAAGGTTTACATAGCAGTTTAAGTTTCCATTCGATGATTTGTGCACAAGTTGTCAGCAGCTTTGGTTACATTCTTCACAATGCTTGAACATTCTCATTTCATTCAGGTTGTTCTGTTTTCATTCATCTCGTTTCCCTACAATTTGGTGAAGTCCAATTTATCCCTTTTTTTTTCTTTATGGATTATACTACGGGTTTAAGCTTAAGAATTTAAATCTATATAAAACTTCATTCTGCAGTTTTCATGGAGCTCTGGTAGTGGTTATGAGTCAGGCTGCTAACCTCAAGGCCAGCAGTTCTAAACTACCAGCTTTTCCATGGGAGAAGAATGATGTTTTCTGCTCCCACGAAGATCTACAGCTTCAGAACCCCTATATGTGGTCTATCTGAGTCAGAACCAACTCCACAGCACGCCACTACCACCACCTACAGAAATACTACGGAATTTGTTTGTGTGGCCTTCCTTACATTCTGTAATCCTTAAATTCCATTTCTAATTCTAATAATTTGTTTGTAGATGCTACATAATCATGTAGTCTGCAAATAAAGACAGATGCCTATCTTCCTTTCCACTCTGTAGACCTTTTTATTTATTTTATTTTATTGATTTGCTTGTCTTTTGGACTGGTTGAAATGTCTGGACAGTGTCGACTAGAAGTGACGAGAATGAACATCTTTGTCTTGTTCCTGATCTTGGAGGGGAAACATTCTGTCTTCACAATTATGTATGATGTTTGCTGTACCTTTTGTTTACTTGTTGGTTAGACTTTCTTTTTTTTTAGGCTTTTTAACTTTTTTACAGCAATTTCAGATTTAAAGAAAGTTCCCTCCCCATACCGCCTCACTATTTCCCCTACTATAAACATCTCACATTGTTGCTAGATACCATCAATTCGGTTCTAACTCAGAGCCAACCCTATACACAACAGAACGAAATGCCGCCCAGTCCTGCACCGTCTTTACATGGTTGCTGTGTTTGTGTGCCTTGTTACAGCCATTTTGTCAGTCCATCTTGTTGAAGGTCTTCCTCTTTTTCACTGGCCCTCTACTTTGCCAAGCACGATGTCCTTCTCCAGGGACTGGTCCTTTCTGATCACATCCAAATTACAAAAAACAAAAATCCCATTATCGTCAATCTAAGGAACATTCTGTCAGTACTTCTTCCAAGACAGATTTGTTCATTCCTCTGGCAGTCCATGGTTTAATTCATTTTTCTTTGCCAACACCGTCATTCAAATGCATCAATTCTTCTTCTTTGGTCTTCCTTATTCATGGTCTGGTTTTCACGTGCCTATGAGGTGATTGAAAAGACCGCGGCTTATTCCAAGGGCGGAGTCCTGGTGTGGCGCTGTATGGTAAGCCCTGGATCACAAGGTTACTTTGAACCACAAAGTCAGCAGTTCAAACTCACCAGCCATTCCTCGGAAACCCTACATAGGGTTGCTATGGGTCAGAACCAACTCAACAGCACTAACAATAGCAACAAGGCCAGGGGCACTTTAATCCTCAAGGTGACATCTTTACTCTTTAACACTTTAAAGAGGTCTTTTGCAGCCGATGTTCCCAATGCAATGTCATTTGATTTCTTGACTGTTGCTTCCTCGGGCATAGATTGTGAATCCAAGTAAAATGAAATCCTTGACAACTTCAACCTTTTCTCCATTTATCATGATGTCCCAGGGTATTTCTTCTTTCGTGGGTTGATAGGGTGGATTGCATTGATTTGTTTTTCAAATGTTGACCCAGCCGTCTTGCATTTGGGATGAACTCTCCTTTGCCACATGGTCTTGGATTTTGTTCCTAGTGTAGGATTCGGCTTGCCGATACTGTGTTAAGAATATTTGCCTCCGTATTGGTGAGGGCTCTTGGCCTGTAGCTGTCCCTATTGTTTTATCCTTAGCATGAACTCAAAGGCAACTCCTGAGAAGCACTCCTCCTGGTACCTGTTTGAGTCTGTCAAGAAGGAAGAAGATGAAGAAGAGGAGGAAGACCAAGAGGAGGAAGAGGAGGAAGAAGGAGAAGAGGAGAAAAATAGGGAGCTCGTACACTCCTCAGGCACCTTGTCACCAGACCTCCTGGAATTCGAACGGTGAACAGCTGGCAGGGTGGTTAGCCCAAGACAGGGAGTTCCCAGGGGAGGAGGCAGGGGCTCCTGCCACGGCTTGCTGCTGTCCAGGGCATTGGCATTCAAGCCCAGTCTGGATTCTGGAGACTACAGAATCTGCATACTGGGACACCTGGGGTGAAGTTGGCAGATGGACTCTAAAAATGGAGAAATTGTCTGAAAACTACATCTGCATAGCACAGACACTGTTTTCACTTAAAAACTAGGTGTTTATTGCTGGGGGAGGTTCGAACCTACCTACCAGTGCCACGGAAAAGAGGTCTGGCGATCTTCTTCCATAAAGATTATAGAGGAGAAAACCCTATGGTACAGTTTCAGTCTGTATTAACACATGGGGTCACCGTGAGTCAGAATGGACTCAACGGAAATGAGGTGGGGCTTGATGGGCGTTACAAAGACTAAAGATCCCCCCCTTTCATTTTCCTGGCCCCCTGAAGTCTTTGACAGCGTTATTGTTCTTATAAAAGATTGTGTGGGAGTTCAGACTTTGCTGCCCTGCCCCCCTCACCTACTCAGTCCCCTCGGTGGCCACAGGTTGTGTCCTGGTCAGGCTTAGCTTAGCCCACCACCCTCCAGTTGACTCTGCCTCCTAGCAGCCCTCTATAGGCCTCCTAAGCTGTCATCTTTGCCAGAACAGATCTCATAAGGCGAATGCCCTGAGAGACCCAGAGCCGGCCCAGAGCTGGGCAACAGGTCTGTGTGCTTTGGATAACACCCGTAAATGAATCCTGAGAGGATTCCTGGAGGGATCTCCAGCTCCCGACTTCCAGTATGAGGGCTGAGGCCATTTCTGTTGCAGGTACCTCACCTTCTACAAGCAGATGATGGGCCTTCTGACGGACAATGGGGTCATCTCCTCACAGGAAGTGACACTCCCCATTGTCTCTGCGGCCATCTCCCACCTGTGGCAGAACCTCTCAGAGGCGAGGAAAACCATTCTCCTGCAGTTCTGCGTGCAGATGCGTAGTAGTTTTCCAGAGGCCTCTCAGGAGCCAGCTTTTGCTGAGGGCAGCGGGGTGGACAGCGGGGTGGACAGCCAGGGGGCCAGTTGCTCGCTGGCCTCCACCCCAGAGGAGGTATGCAGACCCTGGGGGTGCCACCCTTGGCTTGGAAATGCCAGGGATTTGCTTGGGGACGTTTAGCAACTTTGAGGTGCTGTTTGGATTCTGGTGTTGTGGTGGCTGTTCCTAAAGTCGATTGTGACTCCTGAAGCCTCCATGTCTACAGCCTAGAGCAAGCGGCACACTGTCGAGTGTTTCGGATGCAGGAAGCCTTCTACTTTCTTTCAGGTCCTTTTTGAAGATGCCTTTGATGTAACAAGTTTGCTGGACAAAAGCGAGGTTCTGAATACATCTAGTGCCAGGTGAGCTGGCTCAGGGACCTCTGAAGGGCGTATGAGTTGACGTGCATGTGTGTGTGAGTGTGTACAAGTGTGAGAGTGTGTGAGGGTGTACAAGTGTGTGAGTGAGAGTGTGTGTGTGTGCAAGTGTGTGTATCTATCTGAGTGTGTATGCATGCATGTATGTGAATGAATGTGTGTGTACAAGTGTGCCATGCATGTCTGAGTATGTGTAATGTGTGTGGCTATGAGTATCTATGTTCTGAGTGTGTGGCTGTGTGTGCATTTGTGTACCCTGACCCCCGCTGTGATGTTAGGAGCCTCTCCCCTGCAGACCCTCAAAGAGGTTCATCACCCAGTGAAAGGTCTTGGAGCCTCACGGCTTCCTGTCAGTTGAAATGAGCCAGTCCTCAGCTTGTGACCTGAGGCTTTCTCTGAGTGTGGAATTCTCATATCCTGGCCCAAGGCTGGGGATACAGATTGTTGGCAAGAAATAGCTCAGGGTTCACTCACTGCACTCTTCCAGGGCAGCTGTGGCCTCAGAGTTGGTGTGGGCTCTGAGGGACACTTTGCAGGAAGGGTTCTGGGTTGGGTATTAGCAGTGCCTGCTTCATACTACGATCAAATATTTTAGGACGCAACTTGTGGCTGCTGAGTCAAATTCTGACTGAGTGGATGGTGCCCCCCCACCCCTCCACCCCCCACCGTGTGTGCAAAATAGAACTACTTCAAGGCAGATCACCAGACCTGTCTTCTGCTGTGTCTGTGGGTCGATTTGAACAGATAACCTTTCAGCTAATCGTTGAGCACTTAGCTACTTGCACCACTCAAGCTGAGGTGAAAGATTAAGGCTTTAAAAGCTTGCGGTTCCTTCTTTCTTCCTGCAGTTCACTGGCTGCTGGCTGCCACCCAGAGAGCGCAGAAAAGTTCCAATTCTACATACAGATCATTGAGGTTTTCAAAGACCTTTTCTGTGAGAACACTCAGTCACACCAGGTAAGACCTAGCTGAACGTGGGAGACTGTCCACTCCGGCCTCGCTGAGCTGGACCTTGAGCTGCAAGATCTGTCAACCTTCTCAAAAGACCGGCAGCCACAGACCCCTGTGGAGCTGTTCCATTCCATAGCACGGTGGTGGTGATGTGCCGTGGAGTTGGTTCCGACTCATAGTGACCCTGTACAGCGTTTCCGAGGCTGCAAATCTTTATGGGAGTAGAAGCCCTCATCTTTCTCCTGCGGAACAGCTGGTAGTTTCGAACTGCTAACCATGAGATTAGCAGCCTGACTCATAATGACTACGCTTACCAGAGAGCTCCTACTCCATAGCATAAATGAACATTGGGTCAGCAATAAAGGATTTGGGTGGGGGGGTGTTCTTTTCTACTATATACAATGACAAGTTAGTTTTTCTCCAAGCGAGAGGTATTGCCTACTAACCCACACCCCTCTTCAGAGGCATCTACTGCCAACAGCCTCTTGTCCATCCGTCCATGGACATCTGTCCATCCGTACACTGATAGTGCTTTCAAGCATAGCTGGCAGCCTGCTACACATGTGGTTTCCACTGGTGCCGCCCACAGATGAAATGTTTTCTCCTTATTTTTAAAACAGCGGCACAGAAACCCACTGGGCAAGCTCACTGCCCACTATTGAAGGGCATTGGGATAAATCTGGAAGATGGCTCCGGGTAGGAAAGAAACCAGCCGACTGCATTCTGAAAGCCTTGCTCCAGGTCATAGAGGGTTGGGTGTGATAGATAATAAGGCCTTCTCACTAGGAAGAAAGGTCTGGCAACCTCCTGGCAGTCAGCCAGTGGAAACCCTCTAGATTTCTACAACCTATCAGGGGACGTGGCCCAGGACCGAGCGTGTTTCAGTCAGCTGTGCATGAAGCCGCCATGTGTGGGAAGCCAACCACTACCTCCTTCCTTGTAGCCCTTACTCTAGGCTGCAGCTAGGGATGAGGCTGTGATTGGAGAGGTTTAGTGAGGTAGGGGCCTGGGGCCTGTGCCCCTGAAACAAGCACTGTTAATCTCTGCCCACCTTCTTCTGCAGGAACCTACTGAGGCTGTGGATGATGAGCTGGCCATGCTGAGATGCATGGAAACCTTTGAAGATGAGGGTCCGTGATGCTCATGGGCTGGAGGGAAGACTGAATGAAGACGGCCAGTTTCTAAGTTTGACTTCTTACAGTTAACGTCATGCCTTTCCTGGCTACTGGGATGTCCCCAGAGCATGTTGATGGTTTCAGTTTCTGGTTATTACAAATGTTTAAGAAAAGTGTGGTCTGTGTGGTTTGTGGGGGCATTTATTGGGTATAAGGAGTCCTGATATGGCACTGTGAGTTACTGCGCTGGACTGCAAGGTTGGTTTGAACCACAAGGTTGGCAATTCAAGCTCGCCAGCCGCTTCTTGGAAACCTTATACAGGATTGCTGTGAGTTGGAATTGACTCGGATGCGGGAGTCCAGCTCTCGCAGGATTCTGGGACACGAGAGGAGACGCAGAGTCGGCGAAAATGAAAGCAACCGAGAGCCTCTGCTTAGTTGGCTGATGGGGGGAGCTCTCTCTGTCTGCTTGTACTTCTTCTGACCCGGCTCAGCAAGTCTTTATTTTTTATACTTAAAACTACACAGTACATAATGAATTGACACTTTGATCTTTCCTTGAATTATTACACAGTTTCTCACAACAATTCTACACCTGGTCATTAGACAATCTCGACAAAAATATTTCTGTGATGTTCAAACTGACTTCCATCTCCTTTCCCAGTATGTGATAAATTGTTTATTCTTGTTTCCATTAAAAGATTAAGTCCAACCTTACACAAATCATTTCTACTTATCAGACTCCGGATTACATTTTCTTAGTAACATAGGTTTCTATTAATCATCAGTGCTTGCACTACCTTATTATTTCTACTAACTAATTATCAATCTTCTATCCTACATAATGTACTACTATTTTCATAGTAAAAAGTATTACTAACATCTACTTATTTATTTTTGTAAAGTAGTCATTAAATTGCTTGGAAGCTATGTCATGGTGATTCTGACTCACAGCGAGCCTACAGGACAGATAGAACTGCTCATCAGGGGTTCAGAGAGCGCAAAGCTTTACAGGAGCAGATAGCTTCATCTTTCTCCCACAGAGCACCTGGTGGATTTGAACAGCCAAGCTTGCAGTTAGCAGCCCAATGCTAACTTTAATCCATTTTGCCACCATGGCTCCTTTAATAGCCTACAGCCTAATGTAAACATAATTTTTATTTGTAATGAAAAAATGTGTGACTCGCTTTATTGTGATCATCACTTTGCTTTATTAGGGTGGTCTGGAACCCATCCCACAATATCTCTGAGGCATGTCTGTATTTTTTCTTACTAGTGGGATCCAGTCCACATCAAAAATAAAAGACACAGTAAGCTTGAGACCTCTAGGAAAGCATTAGAGTTTTCCAGAAAAGTCCAAGGCAGCAGTTGGAATTAATCTCAGCTTCCCACTCGGGTAAACAAGCAAGTTGTCTGGAGTGTGCGCAGAGGCTGAGGGCTGTTCTGCCATGATGGGGCCTGGCCTCCTTGGCTTTCACACCCTCACCCATCTGGGAGGGGATGGGGGTGGTAGTTGTCTCACTCACAGGACACCTGTCCCAGCATTCCCTCCTGGAAGTTGAAGGACAGTGAAGCCGGGAGGACTTGTTGGCAGAGCAGAAGAAAGCAAGTTGTGAGGACAGTGTGGTGCCTGTCTCAGGTTGGATTTAGGTGGGTGAGGCCAGGCCACAGCTCCCAGAGCAGATGGCGGGGCTCAGAAGGGAGCAGGAGGAGCCAGGAGGTGGTCCTCTCACCCTCCTGGACAGCCAGCCCTGAGGGACAGGGGCAAGAGGAGAAGGCATGGACACTGGCTAGACCCCTGCTTCTTTGGACAAGACAATTGAACTGGGTCTGATCACCTTTCAGCAACCAGCTCCTTGTCTACCGCTGTCCCAACCCAGGGCAAGCATGCATGGACTAGGTGGGTTTGTGGACTTCAGGTCACATGTGTTTGCTTTGAAATGGGGTAGGTTTGGGGCATGATCTCAATCCAATAGCATACTGCTTATTTGGTTTGTGCAGTGGATGGTGTGGCAGGTGCTTAGGAGGGTGGGGTACCCACAGTAGGCCCTGGAGGTTAACACCTTCAGGGGACCAGCATGCTCTGGGATAAGGTGGCTCTGGGGTGCTAGGGTGGTTTTCCTCACATCCTCGTCTCCACATCTCCTGAGAAGTTCGGAGGGCAGAGGGTGAGCTGGTTCACCCCCACCTCACCTTTCCCACCTCTCTCCAGCTGGGGCCAGAAGGGGAGGTGCTGGGTGCAGGAGGACACGCAGAACTTCGTGCCAATCCCCCAGGGGAGGCCGTAGACCACAGAGGCCTTGGAGGTCTCTTCTGACTCCTCCTGGATTTCATTCCAGCCCAGGAGGCCTCGCTCCTCCAGACTTCCTGGGAGGAGACAGATAAAGTCCTGTCGTCCTGAAGGAGCCGGCTGGGTGGACTCTGACTCCCCCTGCAGGCATTCACCAGGTCTGCACTATGTCTCAAGCTGACTTTCACCAGGTCTGCATTGCGTCCGCCCACCCCAACTCCCGAGACCAGTGTCCCTGGCATCTCCTGTGTGAATAAGCCTGCACAGAAGGTACAGCCCAGCGTGAGCACAGTCCTGTACCCAACTCCAGAAACCGTTCCCCACGTTCATGTTTCCGAAGTGAGCATGCATTTCCCAACAATGGAGAGACGGCAGGTGAGCAATAGAAGGAAATCAAGCAGGGGCTACTGTGGAGGGCCAGGAAAATGGCTGTAGGAGGCCTTAGAAAGGCCCATTCAATGCTGCCTGCAGAGGAGGAGAGAGGGGCCCAGGACCACCTCCTCCAGGTAACCCCCTCTCCTCCCGACTGCACCTGCTGAACTCTTCCTATTGCAACTTCCTTGGCGCTCGTTTTGCTTAGAGCTCATCCTTGCTAGACTGCATTATGCTGTAACTGTGTTCTTGTCTTGCTCCCTGGGTAGCCTGGGATTTGTGGAAAGCTTTATTTCAGGGATCTTTATTGGACATGTGACTGATTCAGTCAACGCATGGGTGAAGTCCTTCACTCACTAGAGTGTGGACACTACAAAAGCAGGGATGGGGATTTTTCTACTTGCTTTTGGGCAGAGGGTCTTTGTAGTACTGCTGTGGTCCTGTAGGATAAGCACTGGACTGTTAACCACAGGGTTGCTGATGCGTACCCACCAGTCACTCCTTGAAAGCGCTATACAGAGTCCAACTTGACTACACTTAACAACAACAACATAGGGTCCTTACAACCCCCTCAGAGCCAGGGCCCACTCAGAGACACTGTGCCCAACCTAACATGGCACTGAGACCAGGAGGACGTCTCCAGGTAGCCCCAGTGACTCACCTGGGATGGTGTTGTCCAGTAGAAAGCCCAGAAATCCACCAACAAACATGCCCGTGGTGAGCAGCACCTGGGTAACCTGGTCCAGCTGAAGGATACCTGGAGCAGAGACAGAAGGACAGGGACTCAGGAACCAAGGGCTTTCCTTTAGAGGGGACAGAGCTAGTGGGGCTGGGCCAAAGCAGTATGGCGGTAGAGTAGCACCTGTCTGTAATTTCTCGGGGTTCTTGGTCACCCAGTTGGGAATGGCAAGCCCGCAGTAGATGGAGAAGCCGAAGACAAAGAGGTTCCGGGCAGAGTTCATGTCCACATACTGCAGAAAGAAAACCTAGAGGCAGGCCTGGACACCCCTCCGCCCATGGCCACCCCCGCCACTGTGGTGGCCTAAACCCCAAGGCCCACCGCAGGGCTGTTTGGACCATGTATTCTGAGCGGATGCACTTTCTGATGTCCAGAGGTTTGATGCTACTGGCTATTGTTCCTTTCAGGTGAGGGTCAAAGCGGTTTCTGGGACCCAGGATCCCATCCCCCAGCCCACCGACCCCTCCCCTAAGGCTATAATCTCAATCCTGTGGATTTATTTCTTCAAGAGGGGCCAGGCGGCGGCGTTCCTCAGACACCACCCTCACCTGCAGATTGGAAATCCCCACGGCTGTGATGACCCCGAACATGACCAGGAACATGCCTCCAATCACAGGGGTCGGGATGGTGGCAAACGCAGCCCCGATCTTCCCGAACACGCCCATCACTAGCAGCACGCAACCCGCTGCCACGATCACCATCCGGCTCCCCACCTGCAGCGCCCAGGAGACGGCTACGACCTTGACATCGCGCCCCCATCCCGAAAAGCCCCAGTGCTTCCTGGTGGGCTTTGGGCCTTCACCATCTGGTGAGTACCTACAAGAGGCACCAAAACTCTACCTGCATGGGGTGCCAAAGCTCCGCCCGCAGGACCTGGAGTGGACATCCTGGGATCCTTTCCAGGGTGCCACAGAGTCTCTCTTGGGAGGCATTGGGGAGAGCCTCTCATGAGCCGTGTGATTTTGACCACATTACCTAACTGCTCTGAACTTACCAAATAAAATCACGTGTGAAATTAGATAATGTATGTGAACTGCTTAGAGCAGTAACAGTGTGCCTCATGCCTAGCTAGCACTCAGTGTTGTCAGTGGTAGCCATCAGGTCAGTTCAGACTCACAGTGACCACATGAGTTACCGAGTTGTTGTTAAGTGCCATCCGGTTGGTTCGGACTCAGAGCGACCCCGTACAGAGGGTTTCAGAGGAGCAGCTAGTGGGTTTGAACTGTCGACCTACAGGGTCGCACCAGGACCCTGAGTTTAGATCTACTCAGTAGGGGGTTCGGTACAATCACCTAAAGGCAGATTTCAAGCCTTTTGTCCCTGGAGTGAGTGGGTGGATTCAAGTCACCACCTTTTAGGGTAGAAGTAGACCACCCTAGTTGCGTAGTGATTATGAATCGGGCTGCGAATTCAAGGTCGGCAGTTCGAAACTACCAGCTGTTCTGCAGGAGAAAGATGAGGCTTTCAGCTCCCATGAAGATTTGCAGCCTCGGAAACCCTGTGCAGGGTCACTATGAGTCAGAACCGGCTCCACGGTACATAACAACAAAGGCATACTTTGAAGTCCTGGGGTGGCTCTGTGGGTTAATGTGCCAGACTGCAAAGCCATTTGAACTGCATGGTTGGTGGTTCAAGCTCACCAGCTGCTCCTTGGAAACCCTATACAGGGTCTCTAGGGGTCAGAATTGACTCGATGGCACTTCACAACAACAAGGCATATTTTGGGGAGTGCAGTGGCTCCACAGGATAAACAATAGACTGTGAACCACAAGGTCAGCAGTTCAAGCCCACCAGCCTCTCAACAGCAGAAATTGGAATGCTAAAAGAATGAACATTTCACCTCCTTAGAGTGGCTACTAGAGCATCTTGAAATAAAATGAAGTTTCTACGAAGATTTGTTTTGTTTAAAAATAAATAAAAAACAATCCACTTTGCTATGAGGATAGTGTGGATTATGGTCACAACCAACCCCGGTCAGGTGCACGAGCTTGAAACATCGGGAACAGATGACTGATGCTTTGTTAAGTGCTATTGAGTCAGTTCCAACTCATAGTGACCCTGCGCACAACAGAGCAAAGGCCTGTCTGGCCCTGAGTCCTCCACACAATTGTTGGCTTGGTTGTTGCTGCCACTGCGTCAACCCATCTACCTGAGGATCTTCCTCTTTTTCACTGACCCTCCACTTTACCAAGTATAATGTCCTTCTCAAAAATCCTCACCACTGGACCAATAAATGACACCAGGACAAATGGAGAAGAGATTGAAGTCGTCAAAGACTTCATTTTGTTTGGATCCATGATCAACGCTCATGGAAGCAGCAGTCAAGAAATCAAACGACATATTGCATTAGGCAAATCTGCTGTGCACGACCTATTTAAAGTGTTGAGGAGCAAAGATGTCAGCTCGAGAACTAAGGTGCGCCTGACCCAAGCCCCAGAGTATTTTTAATACGTGCGAAAGTTGGACCATGAATAAGAAAGATTAGAATTGGTGCATTTGAGTTATGGTGTTGGAGGAGAATATTGAAAGTACCATGGACTGCCAAATCAACAAACCAATCTAGGTTGGAAGAAGTACAGCCAGAATGCCCCTTAGGATGCAGGGTGGTGAAACGTCATCTCTCATACTTCAGACATGTTATCAGGAGGTAGCAGGTCCTAGAGAAGGCCATCATGCTAGGTAAAGTGGAGGGTAAATGAAAAAGAAGAAGCCCAAGGAGATGTATTGGCGCAGTGGCAGCAGCAATGGGCTCAAGTGTAGCCGTGATGGTGAGGATGATGCGGGACTGCGCGGGTTTTATTCTGTTGTACGTAAGGTCACTATGAGTTGGAAACAACTCAATAGCACTTAACGATAAATGTTTTTCTCCAGGGACTGGTCCCTCCTGATACTATGACAGATGCTTCAACCAAACCAATCACTGTAGCATCATCTCCGACCCACAGGGACTCCAGCCGTGTCAGAATAGAGCTGAGCTTCTGCAGTTTTCAATGGCAGGCTTTTTTAGAAGCAGATCTCCAGGCCTTTCTCCCAAGATTCTTGTTGTTAAGTGCCATCGAATCAGTTTTGACTCATAGCAAACCTGTAGATTAGTCAAGGATTATACCTGGGATTTAGGTGACAGTTACTAGTGAAATCAATGTGATTTCTGTGTGTGAGCCATTTTGTAACATCCTCCAAAGTCGATGCGGTACCACCAACATCCCTGCCCTAATGTCCCATCAATGAATCAATTCAGATAATTCTTGTCAGTGAGTGTATTTAGTTGCACTTGAATCTGCCTTCCTTCCATTTGTGTCTACTCCCCACCCTGAAGAGCGTGCTCCGGTGTCAACTAGCTAAAGTCCATTAAGACAACTATAGAATATCTGATTCTGCCTCAGCTGCTTCTTGTCTTCCCAACCTGAGCACTTAGTATCCAACTGTCTTCATTAGAAATTCTCACCAAGTCAAAAGAACTGTTGTCTTGCTCTAACTCTAACAATGAGCTGTGAAAACAAGATCATGAATAAAACACAATAGACCTGTTAGGCTCAACAAATGAGCCTTAGAAGAGTGCTGCTGGTGGTTATGTGCCATGGAGTTGGATCCGACTCCTAGTGACCCTGTACAGGGTTTCCGAGGCTGTAAATCTTTATAGGAGCAGAAAGCCTCATCTTTCTCCCGCGGAACAGTTGGTAGTTTTGAACTGCTGACCTTGAGGTTTCCAGAAGAATGGATGGTCTCAAATAAAGACCGAGATCACCCTTCTGCTATCACATGCATTTATCCTGCAGCCCTGGGCCACTCTGGGCCGCAGGGCTGGGGGCTGGAGGCTGGAAGCCAGGATTGCTATTGATCTATCCCAAATCACACCTTCAGCCTGGTTTCCCCTAACAACTGAGAGAACAAGGAAGTCTGAACCTATCAAGGCAAAGTGGTAACAGGTGAAGTTATTGGGAGCAATACCTCAAAAGACCACAAGGGGGAGGTGTGAGTCTACTAGTGCAAGCCGCTTCTGCATCCTGCTTGTCTTAGGGCTCTAGGTCTACACACTTTTCCTGCCCCTTCCCTCTTTTCTAAAAGACCTAAGTTTAAAACAGCATCAAAAAAAAACCTTCATTCTGTCTAGTGAAAGCAATTTTCCATTCTGCATGAAATCAAATGACAGATTGCAGTGGGCGGCGTCCTGGTGTGGCACTGTAGGTTAATGAGCTGGACCACAAGGTGGGAGTCCTGGTGTGGCGCTGTAGGTTAATGTGCTGGACTGAAAAGTCGGTCAGCGGTTCAAGTTCACCAGTGTCTCCTCAGAAACCTTATACAGGGTCGCTGTGAGTCAGAACTTAGCACTTAGCAACAACAACATTGCACTGGGCGAATCTGCTTCAAAAGACCTCTTTTACGTGTTAAAAAGCAAAGATGTCACTTTGAGGACTAAGGTGCTCCTAACCCAAACCATGGTATTTTCATAACCTCATATGTATGTGAGAGCTGGATAATGAATCATTTAGACCAAAGAAGAATTTACGCCTTAAAATTATGGTGTTGGTGAAGAATATTGAACATACAGTGGGCTGTCAGAAGAATGAACAAATCTGTCTGGGAACAAGTGCTGCCAGATGTGTTATTAGGAAGGACAGAAAATCCATATAAATGGAGAAAAGACTGAAGTTGTCAATGACTTCATTTTGCTTGGATCAACCAGTCAATGCACTTCATGGATGGCACCAACCAGCTGTCAGTGGGGGCCTGTGTGTTGCTATAATGCTGAATAGGTTTCAGCAGAACTTCCAGACTAAGACAGACTAGAAGGAAAGCTCTGGCTATCTTTCTGAAGATTGGCCAATGAAAACCCTATGGACCACAATGGTCTGATCCAGCATTTCACCCCAATGCGCATGGGGTCCCCATTACAATGAGTTGTAGGTCAGCTCAATGGTAGCTACTAACAACCACAGCGCTGGGTTCCAGAAAGATCCTGGAGCGGCCACGTGGTAGAAGGGTTAGAGACGGCAGGATCCCAGGCAGGGAGGATGGGTACTCCTGGGGTTGAGGGTGCTGAGAAAGCAGCAGAATCCCTGGAGTGGGTGCAGGACAGTGGTTTGCTGAGGAGACTTCAGAGGATGACAGAGGAGAGCAGGCATGGAGGTGGCGCTCTGAGTGGGAGGGGCTCACAGGTGGGAGACACATCCAACCAGGGGGCTTGGAGCACAACATAGGGCGGGGCTGAGACACTTCACATAGGGCTTTCCATCTATGTCATGGAACTGCACAAGTGAAATGGTAAATGTTGTATTACCTAAATACTCATATAATTTTCAAAGAAAGTCAGGACTTTCTCCCGGGCTCCCAAATCCGCTGTTTCTGCTGTGGAATCGCCACTACCAAAGAAAGTCTGGGGTGGGGGGCAGAAGAATGTCCCTCAAAGAGGTCCATGTTGTTGTCCCTAAACCTGTGACTCTCCACTCACATGTGAAGGGGACTTTGTGGCTGTGATCAAGCTAAGAAGTTAGAGTGGGGGATAATGCTGGCTTTTCCAGGGGGGCTCACTCTCATCAGCAAAGCAAATCGGTTCTCACTCTCAGAGCCTCTGCAGTTAGAGCTGCCCTTTGGGTTTCCCAAGGCTGTTGTTATTACGGTCCCAGACAGCCACATCTTTCTCCAGTGGACCTGCTGGTGGGTCCAAATCGCCCACCTTTCCCTTAGCAGCCAAATACTTTAACCACTGTTAAAGGAGTCCTGGTGTGGCGCTGTAGGATAAGCACTTGACTGCTAACTACAAGGTTGATGGTTCAAACTCATCAGCCCCTCCTTGGAAACCCTATGTAGGGTCATTATGAGTCAGTACCAACTAGATGGCACTTAACAACAGCAACAAAGGCTCCCTAATCTAAACACACACACAAACACACACACACACAATAACAAACCCAGTGCCACTGAGTTGCTTCTGTCTCATACAACCCTGTACATGGTTTCTGAGGCTGTACGGCTTTACTGGAGCCGACAGCCTCATCTTTCTCCCACTGAGCAGCAGGTGGGTTTGAACTGCTGGCCTTGAGGTTAGCAGTCCAGTGCTTATCCTACAGCGCCTCCAGAGCTCCTAGTCTAATCACCGGGGTCCTTAAAAGCAGGAAGCCTATGTCAGGTGTGATCAGAGGGAATGGTGGTTGTGACTTCCAAAGAAAGATCTCAGAAATGCAAATGCTGAAGCGTGCTAGCGCCCTCTGCTGTTGGGAAGTGTTATCAAGTATCAAGTCCTTTCCAACTCAGTTACCCCTGTATAGAGTTTCCAAGAAGCAGCTGGTTGATTTGAACTGACAACCTTGTGGTTCGCAGTCCAGGGCTAATCCTACAGCACCACACCAGGAGTCCATTCGACGTTGGGAAAGGCAAAGAAATAGATTGTCCTCCAGCCTCCAGAAGGAAGCAGCTTTGCCACACCTTGCTCTCAGCCTCGTCAGATCTGTGTTGGACTTCTAACCTCCATAATGTAAGGTAAGGAATTGGCTTGTTGTAAATCCATAAGGTTGTGATAACTCGCTACCGCAGTCACAGGAAATTCATACTTGAAGGAGAGAGTCAGGTGCCCAGTGTGTCTCCAGTGTCCTGTGTTCTCAGTGTTAGAGATGTCTCCCCCCACGCTTACCTGAGAGCTAGCCCACCCTGCTGCAACCTTACCCACGTGGTCGTCCCACCACCATTGCATTCTACCCAGATGACCATCCCCCCGACATTGCATCCTTACCCGGGTGATGCCCAGCGCCCCTACATTCTCGCTGTAAGAGGTGGTACCATTCCCTGTTCCCCAGGCCCCCGCCAGAAGGCAGCCAAGCCCCTCGATGCCGATGCCTCGGTTGATGGCGTGTTTCGGGGGTGCCGGCGCCCCCACCAGCCGGGCACAGGCATAATAGTCGCCCACCGACTCCACCATGGAGGAGATGACACCTGCGATGATGCCGAAAACCCCCGCCAGGCTGATGGTGGGACGGCCCCATTGTCCTAGAAATACGGTGCAGAGGGGCGAAGACCAGAGAGTGAGACGTTGCCGGCCCCAGAAGCCTCTCTAGGGGTGGGGGCGGCCCGAGGGCTGAGAGGGGCCTCTTCCCAGGAGGTCTGGGGGCCTGGGCAGCTTCTCAGCGTCCACCAGGCTGCGCCCACTGTCCCAGGATTAGGTCTTCAGTAACACACCAAGCCAACACTATGGGCACAGAGACCAGAGGGGCCTGAGTAGGCATTTGACCTGGTCTTTCCAGAATGTTCTGTTTCAGTCCCAGACTTCTCTTGGGTGGGATCCAGTTTAGGAGAAGACCCCGAGATCTGGTTGGAAGGTAGGGACTGCTCTGTCTCCCTTGTTCTCCAGTACGGGGGTGGGGATGGAGTGAACTTTGTTCTGCTCCTCCCCCCAGGATTCTAAGGATAACTCAGGGGTCTCCTTCTACTCTTAGGGGTATGACAAGGACCACTTGGGGCCTGTCCTCCACACCCCCTGGATTCAGCTCTCCCCACTCCCCCGTGTCATGGGCTGTGGCCCCGTGGATAGCTCCCAGGAAACGTTTCCCAGACAAGCAGCGCCCCTCCCCGTATCAGTACCTGGGTAAGGGACGCGGAACCACGGAGCCTGGTTCAAGACATCGCCCTTGATGTCGGTGCGGGCCCCGTGCCCGTAGGCCGTGGGGGCCGAGGGGAAGACGTCGGTGACAGTCAGCACGAAGCAGGTGAGCCAGGAGATACAGAGCGCCAGCAGCACCTGAGGAGGGACACGGAGCCACGTCACCGGCATCCGCACACCTGCCTCCACCTGTCCGCCTGCGCCGCCTCTGCTGAGCCCGGAGCCCGAGCAGGCCGCTGTTTATAATGAGGAAATGTTGGCTTCCGACCCTTCCAGTGGGCAAGAGTCTGCAAACAGAAGCTAGAAACGCACTCATGGGAGGCCATGCCCAGCAGCGGGATGCAGCCTGGCCCCTTTCCACGTCTGCTGGCCATGGCCTCCGAGCCTCCGTGTCCCCATCTGTACAAGGACTCACACGCTGTGTCCTGTAACCTACCGTCGTGTGCCTCAGAGTGGGGTCCTCAGACTTCTCATCTCTGAGGGTGGACTTTATATTTAGTCATGTCCCCAAACGATTCCTACACACTGGTCCTTGGGGTTGCTTAAGAAGTGATGAGATCAGTGTGTGAACATACCTTTTTACAATGAGAAATACAGATTACAGCTCAATTCAACCTGAAATCGTGTTTTAGCGGTATCACAGATCTCTGACAGTGCAGGGTGAACTGAGCCAGAGGCTTTCGAAAGGGGGTGCCTTTAGAAGTAACACCTGAGTCATTGGATACCCAGTCCCTGAAGCAGAGCTGGATCCAAACATCTGAGCCCCATCTCTCTCCAACCTTTGGTTTTATGGAAGAGGAGAAACTGACTCCCACACCCCCATCCCCAGCACCTGCTACAGGACAGTCCAGGGACCCCAGAAGTCTGTCACAAACAGGTGCCAGCCAAGACGAGGCTCCCTCAAAGGTCAGGGAGAGCTGCCCACCCAGGCTTCTGGCTCCTTCTCCCTTTGGTCTTGGGAGGTGAGGCAAGCCTGGGTCCAGGGAGGCTACTCCACTCTCCAGGTAAGCTGGCTGACCATGGTAGGGGCCAGATGCTGCTTACCGGGAAGACCTGAAACAGATAGAACTTGGAGGTGTAACATTTCTTGTCACGTCCGCACACGGGCACGGGCAGCGCGATGTTTTTCAGGTACTGAGAAAACAGTACGATGAGGAAGATGGTCCTAAAACAAGAACAAACCCAACCTGGCAAGCCGGGGTCCAGAAAGCCAAGTCCTCCCAGTCCCCCAACCCAGGCCCACCCTGTCAGGGGCCCAGACCCCACCCTCTCTGAAAAGATGAATTGCATCCTTCCAGGAGTAGCTGGGGGTCCAAGTGGGATTGTGGAGAGGGAAACTGCTATTTTGCGGAGGTCTAAGCAAAATAGGCAGGGGCCGTGGGACAGATGCTACAGCTAGAGCTGAAGAGTTCAGATCATTCTACAGGTCTGATGGTCAGTCAACATCTCCTGATACCCAGTGAACAAGGGTCCACAGCCACCCTCAAGGGCTCAACACCTCTTCCTCCATGCAGTCGTCCTGGTGGCCCCCACTGACTACCTCCACCCCTTCTGGGCACGTGCAATGATGCTGTTCACCCTCTCTGGCATCATGGCTACTTGATTCCAAGTCTTATCTCTTCCCTAGACTCTGAGATGCTTGGTGCCAGAGGTTTCAAAAAATGTGCTCAGTGGAGACTTGGTTGGCTGGTAGAATCAGCATTTTGTGAGCACACTAATTATTCTAATCCACTAGCGGTCGGTACTGATAGGATAATAAACAACCACAGTAACAATACGTTATAAGCATCCATTTTAATGCTCTCTAAGTCTTGGTGTGGGGCTATGGGATAAGCACTGGATGGCTAATCACAAGCTTGATGGTTCAAACCCTTGGAAACAGGGCCATTATGTGTTAGAACCAACTTAACAACAACAAGGTACAATAGTATTCATGAAAGTGTTTGTAACCACAAGAGTTTCACAATATCCAGGCCTCATTTTAGTCTACTGGATGACCTTCTACCAGGGAGAGCTAGCGGGGGGAGGGGAGGGGCCTCCCTCCCAGACAGTACTTACATGGAGGCTATGCCCCAGTGGATACCGGCATCATTGCCTGCAGAATCAAACAGAGGCAGGGCCACCAGGGAGATCGTTGGAGCAATGGTCAAGGGTCCAATAAAACGCATGAGAAAGCCAATGAGTCCTGAGAAACCCACCAGCATCTGGACACAGGAGGCCACCATGATGGCACCCTGCAACTGGAGGGGAGGGGGCTCAGACACCTGCACGCAGGACCAATGACCCCAGCCCAACCCACCATCACCAGCCTGGCTGCCACAGCCCATACCTACATCTGCATTCCCCCAGGAATTGTGCACAGAAGGAGCACAGGGGCAAAGCTGAAGCCCCAAGGAACTGAGAGAAGGAGAGCTGGGTCTCACCCCATTCAGTCTTCTGTCTGTGTAGTTTCAGCTGTCTGTTGGACACTTTCACGTAATGTGAAGCCTTGCAGGAAACAGGCTTCAAACTTACCTACCAATCATGGTGATGGGGTGATGATCCCAGCAACACTCAATAGGGCGTTGAACATGTTGCTGCTTTGTTTGATCTCTTCTCCTACATTCTATTATGGGGTAGGCAAATGTTTTCCGTACGGGATAAGATCATAAATACTTTAGACTTGGTGGGCCATACGGGTTCTGTTGCAGCTTTTCCAGACTGTGTGTGAACAGAAGAGCATAGCTAACTGTGTTTCAATAAAATTTTATCTATAGACACTGAAATTTGAATTTCACATCATCTTTATGTGTCATGAAATATTCTTCTTTTTAAAAATTCTCTTTCTCTCTTTTTTTTTGGGGGGGAGGGGATGCAAAAAGAGGCAGTGGGTCAGATTTAACTCATGAGCTGCTTTGCCAACCCCTGGTCTACTGGATGAAGTTGACTTTATTTCTACTTTTACCTCTACTGGTCTGGTAGTTACACGTTTTGTTTTTATTCCTTTGTAAATTATCTTTAAATTTCTAATCAGAATATTGCATTTAACAAAGTCTATGATTCCTGGTGTGGCACTGTGGGTTAATGCTCCAGACTGCAAAGCCAGTTGAACTACAAGGTTGGTGGTTCAAGCTCACCAGTTGCTCCTTGGCAACCCTATACAGGGTCGCTATGGGTCGGAACCGACTCAATGGCACTTAACAACAACAGCAGTTAAATAAAACTTTAAGCCTCCCCCCAAATCGTACAATAACGTTAGAAGAAGAACTCCTATTGTCTTGCTTCTGTCTTTCATGCTCTTGTCATCAACTATTTTGTGGTTACTTATTGAGTTACTATTTTCCACTCCCATTGGTTGTTATTTTGAATTTTGTCTTCCTACAGCGCCTGCGATGAGTTCCTTTCCTCACTGTGGCTTCTTTGTTATCACTCCTTAATCTGAAAGTGAACTTGATTTTTTTCTGAAGTTATTTCATTAAGGATCTGTGATTCACAAACCCTCTCAGTTCTTGTTTGCCTGAAACATGTCTTGATTTTGCCATCAGTCTTATATTACATGGATTTCTACAGTTGGGGGTTGTTGTTGTTGTTGTTGTTGTTGTTGTCAGGTGACATCAAGTCGGAACCAACTCATAGCGACCCCATGCACAGCAGAACAAAACAATGTCCAATCCTGGGCCAACCTCACTACCGCTGCCACAACTGAGTCCATCAATGATGCTACCTGGCCGATCCATCTTGTTGGGGATCTTCCTCTTTTTTTCCGACCCTCCACTTTACCAAACATGATATCCTTCTCCAGCGACTCATCCCTCCGGACAATATGTCCAAAGTATGAGAGACGAAGTTTGGCCATCTTGGCCTCCAAGGAGCACTCTGGCTGCACTTCTTCCAAAACAGATCTATTGGCTCTTTTGGCAGTCCATGGCACTTTTAGTATTCTCCAACCCCACAGTTGGGGGTAGAAGTCCAAAAATAATATTCCATTGTCTTCTGTCCTCTAGTGTTGTTAGTAAGAAAACTGTTACATTTCCAATTGCTATTCCTTTTGTAGGCAATTTTTCTTGTTTTAAGATTTTCTTTTTGTATTTGGTCTTCTAGTTTCATTTCAAGGTCTCTTGCTATATCGGTTTATGTTTTTATTTGCTGTGCTTTAAAAAAAGCTGAGTATTCACATCTTTCAGCTTTTATTTAAAACCGAGCCAGGTTTTAGGTGCCAGGGTCAGCGTCTCCCTTTGGATTTACCAGAGCAAGTTCAAAGCAGCGGTGGAGGTGTAGTAGCCGAGCATTCTGGTGGTCCAAATAGCCAACAGCAATGGACACAGATGTCTTAGGTAGGACAACAGAACTTGAGGACACCTGGCCCATCACAGAACAGGCAGGTTGCCTATACTGGGCACACAGATCGTGGGGTTGGTACCAGCGGGGCTTTACCTATTCTGCAACTGAGGCCCTGGACCGGACCACTATAGAAAGACTGACCACACAGATTGTCCAGCAAGATGAAAATCACTAATAGATCAACAGCTCAGGGATCACCCTTGACTACATGAATAGGGCAGGAAAGATGCAGAAGTAATGGAATCACTAAAAAAAATTAGAATGTTGTTGTCCAAGTTGTGTCTAGTTGGTTCCAACTCATAGCGACCCTGTATAGGGTTTCTGAGGAGCAGTTGGTGGATTGTAACTGCTGACCTTGTGGTTGGCAGTCAAAAGTTTATCCTACAGCGCCACACCAGGACTATAATATGTGGGTGACAAGAGCACAAGAGCTGGCTTTGCAGTTACACTGGGGATACGTGGGTGAGTCACCCGAGTCTCTTGGTCTTAAAAGGTTCAGAACTGAGGGCCTAAGGTGATGTCTGATCGAATGTAGACTCCATGATGAGGCTGGGATGATTGTCCCTTTGTGTCCCAAGGGACCTAGAACCGTGACTGGCACCTATGGAAGGGTTGCTGCTGTTGTCGTGGTCCATGGAGTCAGTTCTGACTCATAGACACAAATGAGACACACAATAAAGATGTATGGAAGGAAGGGAGGGAGGGCAATGCCTCATATCACTATATACCTGTGACTGTTTGTCACCACTGTGTTCTTCTTTCATGCTATGGTACAGTCACTAGGGAAGGCTGTCTTGTCAAAGACTCCACTTCCCAGCCTCCTTACATCTAGGTTGGTCTCCGTAACTGGTCCTCACCAATGAAATGTGAATGGAAGTAATGTGTGTGCTGTCCAGGTGAGGTGGTTACAAAGCAGGTGCGTCTTCTCCAGTTCCTTCCTTCCCCTGTTACTAGCTTACTGCAGACCAAAGTAAGACTTGGAAGTCACATGTTAAAGATAGCAGAGTCACAGATGAAAAAAGCCTAGATCTCTGACTTGGAAGAACAGACCAGGGACATCTGACAAATGAGTATACTCTCGGACGAGTATGGAGTCCTGGTGTGGCACTGTAGGATAAGCTAGCTGAGAAGTCAGCGGGTCAAACCCACCAGGAACGTCTCGGAAACCCTATACAGGGTCACTGTGAGTTGAATGGATTCGACAGCATTTAACAACAACAACATCAACAAGGGTGAATATATGTGTGTGTGTGTTCTGGAACTTCTATTCTGCAAAATGCTTGACTATGGAAAACATTTCAAAGACAGAGAATTCCAGAACACTTCATTTTGCTCATACAGAATATGCCATAGTCCAAGAGGGTGTGTGCAAACAGAACAAAAGGATACTGAATAGTTTCAATTTAGTGTGACTTTACACACCTCGGTGCAAAGAAAACAACAATCCTCACCACTGGACCAATAAACAACATTGTGATCAGTGGAGAAAAGATTGAAGTTGTCAAGGATTACATTTTACTTGGATTCACAACAGCGCTCATAGAAGCAGTAGTCAAGACATCAAACAATGTATTACATTGTGCATTTCTGCTGCAAAAGATCTCTTCCACAAAGAGAACAAATGATCAACTGCAATTTGTTATAACGTTGAACAAAAGTAGCCAGAGGGAGTTTTGTGTGGTTCTAAATATAAAGTTCAAAAACAAGCAAAATAAATCTATGGGGTAGAAGTCAGGACAGAGGCTGGGGGGTGGGGGGATTGGGAGTCTGGGCGTTAGAGGGGGGGTGGTGACTGGAAGGAGACCCGTGGGGGCTTCTAGAGTTCTACAAGTGTTCTGGGATCAGTGAGTACATTTAGCTTATATTAAGTCATTTTCTGTGAAATTCCATTAAACTTGTTCAATTTAAGTACAAAGTTCCTCCTCAAAAGTTTAAATTCAAACTTCGCAAAGAGGGGAGAAAACAATCAAACTAGAGCAGTATTGGAGTCCTGGTGTGGCGCTGTAGGATAAGCACGGGACTGCAAGGTTTGTTTGAATCGTAAGGTTGGCAGCTCGAACTCACCAGCGGCTCCTCAGAAACTTTATACAGGGTTATTAGGAGTCAGAACTGACTTGATGGCACTTAACAACAGGACAGTGTCAGCAAAGATAGATTCGTATTGCTAAGCACTTGTATGTTGTCTTGGTTCTATTCCTTCTGGCTATGAGTTGGAAATGACTTGACAGCATCTAATAACGACAATATCCCTTCTCTCTGTTCAAATAGGGGTAGGAATGGATTCTCTCCGGGTGTTTCACAGAGACGGGGTGGGGCAGTTGGTGAAGCCATGAGACTCTGAGGACTGAAGAGGGTTGGGAGCTGGGCCCTGGGGGCCTCAGGTTCATTAGCATGACTCCCCAGGAAACTTAGGGAGCCAGCATTGCCTCTGTCCACAGCCTTGAGTTCCAGAAGGTCCTTGGTCGAGTTTTGGGCAACTGTCATTGTATGGTGCTCCTTCATCACGCTCCACTCAAGAGGAGGGGGTCCCTGGCAGTACCCTGCATGTGGCATTGAAGCTCGAGGTGGAAAGAGAAGATTGATCTTCCCAAAGATCTCAAGTGACCCTCACCCTATAGCCAACAGCACCATCTACAACTATGCACCGCCCCATCCCAGGCCAGGCAAGGACAGTGGTGTCTGCAGGCAGCATGTCTCCTGTCTCAGGGTGTGGTTGGTCACTCTGCCAGGAACCCATGGCCCTAGAATGTGCCGACTTCCTGCTGTACCATTTAGATAAGTCAGCCCAGGAGCATGGCCAAATTCCAGAATTGTATCAAGGCCATCAGTTCCTTTCCTGGTTGATACAACTGAATTCATCTGGGTCAAGTTTCGTGGTTGACAAGCATGGCACACAGCTATCCAGAGTGGGCTTGCTGAGCAGGCAGTACTGGAGCTGCGCCGGCCTGGTGGTCCTACACACTCGTTTCCTGTTACGTCTAGCCTCTATGGGCTTGATCCCTGGCCTTAAGCGCAGACACCACGTGGTTACTTGTGGAGTCTTGCTAGGAGGCTGAATTGGTTTCAGCAGAGCTTGTAGACTAAGACAGACGAAGAAAGGCCTGGTGTTTACTTTTTGAAAATCAGTCAATCAGAGAGAGCGTTGTGGATCACAACAGCCCAACCTGAAATCCCTCATGGGGTGGCTCAGGACCAGTCAGCCTGTGTTCCATTGTACACAGAATGGCCATGAGTCAGGGGCATCTAACAACCCCACCACCATGGTCAATATTACTGTTGTTGTTGATAAGTGTCATTGAGTTGGTTGCGACCCTGTATATGTTTTCCAAGGAGCAACTACTGGTGAGCTTGACCCACTGACCTTGCGGTCCAGCGTATTAACCCACAGTGCCGCATCAGGTCAATGTGGCGTGTGTGAATGTATGAACTCAAAGTGCCAGGAAAGTTGGAAGTGTTGGTGGCTGCTGCGCCCATCATCATCATCATCACCACCACCACGATGTCCCTCTTTGTCTCCCCTGGGATATTGTGGCCATATTTAAAGTCAGGTCTTGACTTAGTCCCATTGGTCTTCCTGGCACTGAGAGCAATCACTCTCTTGCTCATCACCCTGAGTTGTTTTCTTCATTGCTCTTACCACCATTGGAAACATCGCTTCTCTAGTTACTTGTTGAAGTCCTTCTTGTTTTGTTTGTGAATTGGGTTTACAGAGCATAGTGGCTTTCCATTCAACAATCCAGACACATTTTGTTTTGTGACATTGATTGCAATCCACACAATGTAAGAACACTTTCCCCACTTCCTCCCAATGTTTCCCATTTCCATCTATCCTATTGGAGTGTCTTTGTGTCTCTCTCCCACCCTGCCCAGCACACACACCTAGAATACTAGAATGTTGGCTCTGTGAGGACAGACTTATCTACAAAAGCACCTCAATGCCCAGTTCAGGACCTGCCTGGCAAGGAGGACCACCCTCGTGAACACCTCTTTATCCCTCTCTACCCCTTCACCCTGGTACCTCTCGGATCCTCTTCTGCCATTCCTCAGTGAACTCCGGAGAGCTGGTATTCACCAGGCTGGCATTGAATGTCCACTCGGGGCACTTCCAGGCAGGAAGTGAGAGCATGGCCAGGGATGGTGCCACAAAAGCAAACGTCCCTCCCTGGAGAATGGGCAGCCTGAAAGGGGAGGATGTGATCACCACATGGTCCTATGGCATCAAGGGGACCCTCTCCAAAGTCCTAACTCAGTTTAGAGACAACACTGAGCTCTCTCCAGCTCCAAGTCCATCAACATTGACCAGGTAGGAGAGAGCCAGGGGCTGAGAACCGACTGGGAGACAGCACAGCGCTCAGCAAACAGGCTATGTGGGTGCGATCCTATAGCCCCCAAGCTCAGGGGTGGGGCATAGCTCACACGTGGGCAGGTCCCACCTTGAGTTCCCTATATAAACATTCCCCCACTATGAAGAGGGTTACAGCCCAAAATCTGGGCTGCCAGATTCCTCTGGGTCTTCAAAAATGCCAGCAGTCCTGCATCTCAATCAGACCCTCTTATCACATGTGGCCAGTCCTACATCTCAACTCAGACCCTCTTATCACATGTGCTCAGTCTTCAGGGTACCCCTCTGCCCAAGCAGATGACTTCCAGCAGTACTTACCCAACCAGTCTTCCCTTTGTGGTAAACACAGCCTGATAAGTGAACTTCCCAAAACCTTCTCTTCTAGAGGTCAGAGGCTGGGAAGGCTTGTCTACGCTGCCCACTCAGGACATTAGAATTGGGGGCAGGGAAGAGGGACAGCAGAATCGTGACCACATTTGTCTCAATGGCCACCCAGTTCATGTATCTTTCCTCAACATTAGTCCTGAGTGCTTTTGAACTCAGAACTTCCTAAAGGATTATTCTTCAGAGCAATTAGGCACATTTTAGGTAAGGAATATACAGAGAAACCTATGTGAGCCAGAACTCAACTAGACTAACTGGTTCCGAAAGAACAGTAATGAAAATTGAAGATACTTGGAATCACCTGGTCCAATGGATCAATGGAGTCACCATGATTCTGAGACCAGAGGATGGTGTCTGGCTACCTAAACTAAGACAGAGCCATTGCCATGCTGCAATGAGTTCAAAGACGGGTAAGACTTGAGAAATTCGCACGGACCACCTAACAGGCAGCGTCCTTTAAACAAAATAATAAACAAGGGGGAATATGTTGCGGACCGTGTAAGACTAGTCAGAGGTTCGAGGCCCTCTAGGGCCGAGTGTAACAAATGAGGCCACTGGCAGTTAATAGCAAATTGTCTTTCATCTTAATATTCAGTTGTATATATTAAATTAATACACAGAGCCTTTGACAATCCACAGATAAATGTGATATTTTCCTAAAGCCGAGACTAAAGGTTGCAAGGTTAAGCCTTTCTCCAAAAGGATTAACTAAAAATATCTTAGCTACTTCTCGGTTCTTTGTTCTATAGACAAAGAACCCATCCTCCCTAATCCTTTTCCAGGTGCAGCCCATTCACCTGGGCGGCTGGAGACCTGACTCAGGAAGCCGAAACAGCGGGACTCCGCCCAAGCTTTTGTCTTTACCTTTCACCTTCTCCCACCTCAGCTCAGGGACTATAGATATGTTAATTGGGCCTGAGAAACCAAGTTGCTGGCCTGGGATTTGAACCAGCGAAGCACAATGTAAAGTTACCTGAATGTCTGGAAAAGTACTGATGTTAGCTGTACCTTGCCTAAGTCCCTCCCAGCTTGGTGTGAAGCTCCTCCCCTAAATAAAACAGAGGCCCGGGCCTCCCCAGGTGTGCATTACTGGTTGGAAGGCATGGAGTAAAGATTGCAGTGCATTACTGGTTAGAAGGCATGCAGTAAAGATTGCAGTGCATTACGGGCTGGAAGGCATGCAGTAAAGATTGCAGTGCATTACAGGTTGGAGGGCATGAAGTAAAGATTGCAGTGCATTACAGGCTGGAGGGCATGCGGTAAAGATTTCAGGGCAGTGAGTTGCTGCCTGCAGAGGCCACGATGCCTGTAGTCCCAAGCCTGCCCACCAGTGATGTATCCACCCTGGCTTTGGGGTGCCTCATTGTCTCTCTCTTTGTCTCTTTCTGTGTATTCTTGATATATTGTTACCGCCGTCAGGTATCTCCTCCTCGTGAACTGAACCCCTATGTCGAGGCAGGTCCCCGACAGCTACCACTATCAACCGTTCTGAACGGGATCTCATGAGAAGGTCCCAGATAGAATGATAAAATGTGGAACAAAATTCTAAATTTTATATATATATATGAAATACCAAGCTTACTGGTCAGAAAGAGACCAGAGGAACCCAGGACAATGGCCTTTGGTCACCTTCAGGTCTGAAACAGAACTCACATTCATGACCCAACTTTCATCTAAGTAGTAGATAGGTCTACAGTGCAGGCAACAACACTAGTAAAATGCGCTCACCATGGAATGGTCAATTATTCAAAATCAAAAGGGCAACATTTACCTAAGGACAAAGTTGAGAAGGGATGGGAAGGTGGGTGGAATGGAAACAGGAACCACAGGGAGGCAGTGGGATAACTGTTGTTGCAGGGAAGGGATTGCAATCATTGAGATGAAGCGAAGTGTATGATTTACTGAATGTAAAACTCATGATCTTGTGTGTAAACCTTCACTCAATTCCCAATAAAAAGTTGTGGGTTTTTTTTAATGCTATGGAGGTTGTTTAAGTGAGTATATATTCCTGAGTGTTTTTGTGTGCATCCTTCCCACCAAAAACACATAAAAAACAGAGGGAATAGAAGCAAATACTGTTTCATGATGACGCACAGGGGAGATTGTAATCATTGCAATGAGATGATTAATATAAAACTGATGTTCCCCCATGTAAACTATCAATGACTTCACAATAAATAAAAAAAATGCTATGGATCAGTTCTGTCCTGCAACACATGTGGTTACCGTGACACAAATCAACTTGAAGACAATCTGTTGTTCTGATTTTATTTTTAATGCATATGCTTCCTGCAGCATCCATAAGGCTCCTCAGAAGTGAGAATGGTAAAGACTTAGTCTTACATCCATTCTCTGAACATGTCATCAGGAAGGACCAGTCCCTGGAGAAGGACATCATGCTTGGTTAAGCGGAGTCTGTGAAAAAGAAGAAGACGCCCAGTGATCTGGGTTGACACCGTATCAGCCACAATGGGCTCAAACATTGGAGTGATGGTGAGGTGGCATGGCGCAGTGTTTTGTTGTAATGTACATTTCGCTGAGTGAGAACCAAGTTGATAGCAGCAAGTCACAGCAACAAGACATACTTAATCACATTTGTCTGGGCATCAGAAGTCTATCTGCCTTCCAGATGGGACCAACCAGTTTTCATGTAATTTTTCTTGACTGGTAAGAAGCGCAGTACAGTACCTCCCTTATCTCTCCAACCTCCTGTGAGTCACTGTGTTTCCAGGAGGTGACCCCAGGCTCCAGTGAGAGGACAGAGGATAAAGTCACGGGCGCTTTTCTTGGGGACATAGGATGAGGTTGGTTGATTCTTCTGAATTTATGAAGACCAACGGTTGCATTTGGATGATGGTGTTGGCAAAGAATATTGACAATACTGTGAACTGTCAGAAGAACAAACACATCTGTCTTAGAAGTACAGCCAGAATGTTCTTAGAAGCGAAGATGACAAGAGTTTGTCTGACATATTTTCTTTCTGTTGTTTGTAGGGTTTCTATGAGTTGGAACTGACTTCATCATACCTAACAACAGTAACACTGTATTGTGAAGAATCCTGCATCCCCTAAGAGTACCAGTTACTTCCTCATTGGACAAAGAGTTCTTTGTACATCTTTTTACTGAGCTCCTCATGGCAAGCAGGTAAACTTTAGAGAAATCTATCACACACCTTGTAAAAATGGCATGGGGGCTGCATCTGACCTTCTTTAACTTCATGTGGTGGGAGAAGGATCAAGATCAACAGCCTAAGACTGACTCCTATGAGGTAGAGGTCAGACACGCTTCCCTTTCACACCACTCTCTCCTTCTCTACTGAGTCCAATTACCCAGAATTCACAGACAGTCCTCACATTGGTGGGGCTTACTAGGGTATAACAGGTTACAGTTTAGGTTCAGGAACACTCAGGGCGTGGTTCTGTGATCAGAACAACCTCTTCTCAGTCAGGCCCACAGGCAGGCAGGTCTCTCTAGCCCTTGGCCCCTCAGCCTGGCCTCTGTCCTGCCAATAACTGCACAGAGGCACCCCACTCCGCCAGCCAGCCTCTTGCCTGAGGGAGTCAGCTTTCTCACTCCGTGGACAACAGTTTTAAACTGAGCGGTTCCAGAAATGGAAAAAGGGAGCTCACAGCCACCAAGAAAGAGGAACCAGGAGTGGAACACACTGTTGAGACCTGAGATCCAGGTGCTGAGCCCCTCTTTGATCCAGAAGATAGAGAACTGTGATGCCAGAGACCGCAGAAGACAGCAAGAAGTGTAAAGGTCGTCCAAATTTCTTGACATAGATGAGTTTCTTGAAACATTTCAATGTGCATTCCACCAATTCCCGGAACCTTGTTCTTTGCCAATGCCTTCAATGCACCTCGGACTTCTTCCTTCAGTACCACTGACTCTTGATCATATGCTATCTCTTGAAATGGTTTAACAACCACCATATCTTTTTGAGACCGCGACTGTGTATTCTTTCCATCTTCTTTTGATGCTTTCTGCATCATTCAATCTTTTGCCCATAGAACTTTTCAATATTGTAAGTTGGGGGCTTATCTTTTTTATTCAGTTCTTTCAGCTTAAGAAATGCTTTCCTTTTGGTTTTCTAACTCCAGGTCTTTGCACATTTCATTATAATACTTGACTTTGTCTTCTCAAGCTACCCTTTGAAATTTTCTGTTCAGCTCTTTCCTTCCTCATTTCTTCCATTTGCTTTAACATCTCTACACCAAACAGAAAGTTTCAGAGTCTCTTATGACACTTTTTGATCTTTTCCTTCTCTCTTGTCTTCTTAATGACCTTTTGCTTTCTTCTTCTATGACGTTCTTGATGTCATCCCACAACTCTTCTGGATTTAGGTCATTAGTATCTAGTGCATCAAATCTGTTCTTGAGATGATCTCTAAATTTAGGTGGGATATGTTCAAGGTCAAATGCTGGCTCTTGTGAACTTGTTTTAATTTTC